CAATTTCCCCATATTTTACTCCTTGGGAGATTTTCATATGAACTGATAATTTCAACTCCATTTCTAGTAAAATAGTTTGTTTTCTTTTTTAAATCCTATCAGCAGAACAAGCTTAATTTGGAATTTGAGATGTGCACTGTTCTTTTGTGCTTCGCCTCAGCGTTTATAAAACTAATTCTCAAACTTTGGTCTCCAAGTAAGTGCTCTGTAGACGGCCAACAAAACCACTTCTTTCAGGGAGTCTGACAGTGCATTAAGCAATAAGTAGTTGTCTGCAGTGATTTCTTCGCCCTAGAAATACAGGAGCCTGGAATAAGAAAGGTCCATGGGTCAAATTCGACTTCACACAGCTTTCTAAAATTCCATAATCTGTTGGTTCTGTCTTTAGTTACAGAGAATTTGGGACACATTTTCAAAATAACCAAGTTTTCTAAGTTGTTTATCATATTGGAAGCCTTAAGTATTTTAGAAATTCTGTCCCCACACAGTGTGTCTGACATTGATCTTCAATGGTGTTAAACAGGAGTAATTAAGAAGAAAATTTCCACTGGTAACTGGAATTTAGGGAATTCTATACTCTTATAATAGGATTAGAGATCATATTATTATCCCTATTTTATCTTATTACCAAATACAATGCAATACAATGATTGTGGTTACTTATACAAAGGTCTGGGATTTTGGAACAAGGGAGGACACTGATGAACAATCAGATGCTATTTTTTCAAAGGCACTTTTCTAACAATGAGTACACACTGAAATGGTAATTGCAACTTCAAAACAGCATAAACCACCACAGCTGCTCTCAAAATAATGGATATAGCACAGGCCTGTCTATGATATTATCTGTAACTGACTCTATACTGGAAAAGATTTTAAATCCAGAAGTGCTTTTATTGAATAAATTACTTTGTCAGCCAAACAAATAAAACTGTATTTGAATTTTATCACAGCAACATTGACATCTAGTGGCTAGTTAAACTCCACATTTGATATCCTTTGTATGACAAAAAAACATGGAAAATACAGTCTACTGAATTTGACAAAATACATGCATTGCAACAGCCTGCTCTCTTTACATAGCTTCTAGATGACTGCAGAATGATGGTAGTCTTTAATGACCAGTCGGGTGTGACCAGCCCCAGTGAAGAGAACTGGTGAGCATGAGCCACTGCCCCTCAGCACAGCCCCACTGGTTTTTCCTGACTGTCAGCAAGTCTTAGGCTTGGGAGTCAGCTGCCTGACAGAAGTGTAAATGTTGCTCTGGATGCTTGTTGGGAGGCATAGTGCATCCCATAGTTTTTACCCTGGTACCTCTAAAAGAAGAACTACAATTATTGAACATGATGCTACTGGCATATGTGCATGTCCATTTTTAGTTCTACTTGATTTTTTACAAATTACTAGGGGGCTTCAGAGAGAGGGAGATGAAAATCAGGAACATGACAGATGCTGTGAGACTTTGTACTATGAAGACATGAAAATAAAAGTTTTGGCAACCTACTTCATAGACATGTAGAAGATAGGAAGGTGCCAACATCAAATAATGTTAGTCTAAATTCCTCATTTTTCAACAAAGTAACTGGCTTAATGGAGAAAGAGGAAAGATAAACCTCAATTTTACTAGCATTCTTGATGGTTCCACATTACTGTCTCATAATCAAACTCAAATGTATATGACAAAAATATATCTGCCCTGCAAACAGGTCTTATAATAGATAAGGTTGTCAGTGACCACCTTGCCCTCACTCTCCACACCAGTGGTAGCTGCTTCTTCTGGCCTGTTGGCAAAGCTGCCTGATGTGCTTCACTAAAAATTGGAGCAATTTTTTAATCGGTTAACCAAACTAATTTTGACCAAACAATCAGAGGCTGTTGAGTTTAAGCAATTTTACCAGACCTTAGAAGGCAATAATCTCCTGCAGAAAGGTTGGACTTGATGATCTAAAAGGTCTTTTCTGACCTCGTCTAAGGCGGAGGTATTTCTTCCTAGCTAAATACTTATAAGGACTAAACAGCTATGCTTAGTGTTTATTAGAAATACACAGAGAACTCTGAGCACGAAGGAGAGCAATAAAACATAAAAGTTCTCAGAAATGTAACCTATGTGGATAGGTTGAAGTACTTTCATTCCTTAGCTTCAAAAAGCTAAGACTGTGGGCATATATGTCTTCCAGTATTTAAAAATTTCTTATTCAAATGAGGATAAATTCTTTCTTTCTGTACCAATTAATGTAGGGCATTAAGAAATTATCTCCAGTAGCAACAAAGGAGATTTATCTTACATATTAGGAAAAAAACACCCTGTATACTTAAGAGGTTAATAGATTAGGCTATTTATGCTGTGCAATCTCCTATGCTAGCAGATTCTAGGAATGGCTCATTAAGTACATCAGATATGATTCTTTGAATTCTGCATCTCCACAGTTTAATACCTTCTTTTGGTACATACATGTTGATAAAAGTATTATGTCTGACTTAAGCATTCTGAATACACCAAGTCTCAAACTCAGCCCGTTTCTAGATTTAGGGCAGGAATAAAGTGATGCCTCCTTTGTAGGCCACGAAGTTCAGGCTACTGTAATTTAAGAGTATAGTTTCATACTACTGATAAGCTGATCTAACAGAGTGCTGCTGCTGAAAGGGCTGCCCTTGTTTTTCATCTTCCCCTTCCTCCTGTCCTATCCCTCTATCCACAACCGTTTTTTGCACCACCATTGTTGCACATCAGACACCACAGCAGGACAGTCAGAAGAGCTAGAATGACAGAAATTAAAAACTGCAGTTCAGCAGAAGTGGTCAGATGAGCACTGTCAGCTCAAGAAAAGGAATGCTTTCTTTCTTCCAAGGCAGCCAACCCATGGCTGTTATAGAAAACCGTGCTCCTAAGGTTTGGCTGTACAATCATTGAAATCCAACTTAAAACCATAGCACATCCCACCCTGCAGAGTTATGCCCAACTCTTCTTTTTCCCCATATCTTTCAGTGCTGTGGGATTTGTATGGAAGAATTATCTTTCTTGGTGTCAAAGCATATATATGATAGCTTTAACCTACCAAGATACTCCTACAGAATCAAACTATAATACATACACTAAGGGTTAAGGACAGATTCAATTTCAACTACTAATTTACTAAGGATTCATTTCTGATCCACTTCCCTAGCTATAGCTTACTGTCACTCACACCTAAAAAGCAGGTGATGCCTGAAAGCAACAGTCAGACATCAGAAAAGCATAACATAGTAAGATGAAGTTATCTAGTTGCTATTCTCAAAAGAGCTGTTGATAAAATAACTTCAGCATCTACAAGTTGCAATAGTTGAACATACTGGAGAATTTTTCTTTGCCCAGAAACTTATTTTTTCTATATGCAATCTTCTGTGCCCACAGCACAATGCCAAGAGGTTCAGGAACTGTACATCCTTCCTCTACCTTTCCCACTTTTCTTCAAAGTGCATAATCAATGATATGTTGGCCCAGTTTCCAGAATCATATCAGGATTCATTCACACTAAAGCAGTCTGTCGTTTCCGTAAGAGAACAAAAAGATGCCTGCTATTACAGTTGCGTGGGTATACATTATTTATTTTGAGGTATTTAAATTATTAATTAGTATAATTCCATTTTTTCAACAGTCTCTGCTCCTTAGAGGAAATGGGCCACATTCCATAGGACTTCAGCAGAACACCGTATACACTCAGATAAGCATATTGCCACTCAGTTCCTTTCCATCGGACACCTCTAGTATCACCTTTACATCCCTTCAGAGTGATAATAACATAACAAGTGACACAAATACTAGCTCAGGAGAAAGAAACTACTTTGGTTTTAACACAGATTCAGTAGCCAACGTAAAGAGGTACGCTATCAACTGTTGCATGCGATTCCCTTACTGTGTAGCACTGTAAAATACTGCACTACATTTTACAACTTATGTATTACATTAGTGGCATTTCAGTTTTGAAATTTTCCCTGTATTAAGTGTATCTGTGGTTTAAGACTCCAGGAATCAATAACACTTGATGGAAAGTCTGATACAGTCCAGAAGAAAGTATCTGTGATGGACTAAAGCATTTCAGACCTCAGCAGTCAAAATGCTGGTTCAGGTGTTGTGCACCCTGATCTTTGATGGGAAACAGTATCAGCTCCTTAACAGGTACTTGCTGTATTTGATGAGTTAATGCTGAAGACTGGCATTTCCCAGCTAGCTTATGAGAAAACAGTTTTAGTTTATAAAGCTCCTTCCCCTGATGCAACCCACAAGCTCCCGAACTCTTATCAGCCGTTGCCGTTGGTCCTCACAGAGAAACTGGGTCAGATAACTGCCTTTCTCTCTTCTAACTGCGAGATGCAATTAAGAGGAGAAACCGCTAAAACATGTGGAAACCAATGTTATGTATTACCTTGCCGAGGCTGCCAGGGCGTTACTGCGGCCGTGCAGGAGGTCTGTGTCGTGCTGAAGGCAGCGCACACACCTACTGCACGAAGCGCTGCCCCGAGGGTCGTCTGGCAGCTTCTGTCACCGAGGAGCACCCACCCAGGGCCCTCTCCTCCCCGAGGGGCCTCCTCCAGAGCGACCCCTCCTGCGCGACCCCTCCCCCGACGGACCCTTGTGGCGGGGCCCCGCCGCCCTGGTGCCCGCCGCCACCTCTCAGCTGTCACCCCCGCAGCTCAGCTCCTCTAGGGAGACTCCCCAGCCCAAAAGCGCTGGGAGTGGTGAAAGGGCGAAGTGGGACGGGATGAAGAGGGGCTCGCTAAAGCCTCCCTGGGAGCCACTACGGGCGGGTCCTACCTTCCCAGAGGCGGAGACCGCCGCAGCCGGCGCCGCGCACCGGGTTCCCGAGCAGGGAGACTCCCCTCGCCCCTAAACATGATGAGCGGCTTTCCCCTCCCCTCCCTTGCCGTCGCAGCTCGCCCTCCCCCGCCCGCCGACGCCCCGCCGCGCTCCGCCGGCTGCCCGCGCCCGGGTGCCTTGCGCCGCGCCGCGCCGCCCGCCAGCGGCAGAGGGAGGCAGGCGGCGCAGCGGCCGTGCTCCGCCTCTGTGCCCAGTTTCCGGAAGGGGCCTACGAGAGCGGCCCGCGGAGAAGCGCAGCGGCCGGCGAGTAGGGCCGGGCAGAGAAAGAGGAGGAGGAGGTGGTCTTCGCCCGCGTTTCCAGCGAGCTCTCCCCTACGGCTGGGCGGCCCGCACCGCCGCCATGGTGCCTAACCAGCTGCTCCTATCCGCTGCCGTGAGTGGGGCCCTGGAGAGAGGGAGGGGCGGGCGGCGGACAGGCCGCGGCCTCCATGGCGGGGGGGTGGAGCCGGCTGAGGGGCCAGGCCATGCCTTGTGCGGGGTTGGGGCAGTGTGGCAGGAGGGCACTCGGGAGGTTGTGGCCGTGGTGGCCGCTCTGGTGGAGCAGGGCTGACTGGTTTTCGGGGAGTAAGAACAGCTGCGAAGTCGTGTCGGACCCATACGGGCCGGTTTTCGGTGTGATTTTTCACCTTGGGGCCCCACAAAGCCCTAAACCTTACCGTCGTGGTCTGCTGTTACCTATACTTCTGCTTCTCCTTCCGTATCTTTAGAGTTTTATTAATAAAGGGGCAGTATCCTGTGTGTTCTCTTTGGTAGGGGTGTTCACTGGGTTGTATATTCAAATATTTATCGTAATTAGTTTTACAAGGAAGAGTAGATTTGAAGCTAATTGTACTGACTCTCACATCTTTTCTCCCAAGTGGAAATTGCAAAGCCTCAAGGTAGGAAGAGTGTTTTTGCAGTGAACTCTGTTGACCCTCAGCGTGTCACCCTTTATCCAGCCAGGACAGCTCCCCAAGCCTTGATCTCCCTTCAGACTCTCCCAGGGTAGTTTGTTTGAACCAAAATGAGCTGGCAGGTCTGTTTTAGGCCACATCTGGGCTGTGAGCAGACATGAGTGCAGACCTGTGTGCTGGGCAGATAAGGGGAAGGATGGGAGTGACGCTTTCGTGGGGAGTAACAAGATTACGGCTGTCAGGGGCATGATTTGGGATTTTGTGTGTAGGATTGTTTTGCGCCCCACCTCCCCCTTGTTTTTTAACTTCCTTTCTGTTCAGCTTTGTGTTGTGAACAAGAGGGCACCAGTGTGAATTATGACATGTCCGTGTCACTAGTGTGTGTTTGTTCCAGTGGAGAGGGTTAAAAGAGATGCTTTTTCTGGATGCAAATACCACCTGTAAATGCAGTGTCCTGTAATGACGTCAGCAGTTGACATCTCTGCTCTCAGTTGCATACAGTGTTTGTACATTTACTGGGTTTAAATTGCAGGCTTTTAGGAGCCCCAAATTAGTGGACTTGGTTCTGTCTCCAATTGCTTTGCTGTTAATTAATCCAGGATGTTGGGATTACTTAAATGTCAGTGATTGGTACTTGTTCTGGTTTTGTGGTTTCAGTTTGTTTTCTTGTTTGGGAAAAAGGAAGTTCAAAGTTGGTGAAACAGGAAAAAAAAAATTGTGCCATTTAAGTGATGTAGCTTTTATTTAGGTTTATATTTTGATAAAATGTTTGGTATTTACCTTGCTAATATACTAAAGCATTCTGAGTTTCTGACAAATTCCATCAAAGTGAAGATTAATTAAAGAGTTTTTCAGATAGTGAAAGTAGTTATTCTAGATTTTCCTGACAATTTTGCATGTCCATGTCTACACATGCCTGTTAAAATCCACTAGTTCAGGCACAAAACTTTGGTATCTGCCTCTGTTTTACTCAAGCTAAATACATTCTCGTTGTTGGTGATTATTGCCTGTCTTTTTTTTTGTGGAGAAGGGGAGAAATCAGTCTTGAAATTTCACAACATTAAGCAGGTGTCTGTTTACATTGCCATTCGAAAATGGAAAGATTAATTTATGGATGAGATTCTTTAGTGGAGTTCATTTTTATGTTTTACTTAAAAATCAGGTCATCTTAGTGTCATTCTGTGAAGAGGTTTCCAGTTGGAAGGGCAGCCTCTGAGGACCTTGGCCATGCCTGTGTCTACATTCACGGTCACAGCTTTCCAAAGGGCAGTCAGCGACTTCTGAGAGCCCTACAATATGACTCTGTTGGAGCAGCTTTTCTTTTCTTTTGAGTGATTCCTGGAATTATTTGGGAGCTGATTATTAAGTATGTTTATATCTTTCCTGAGGCCCATCATAAAGGGAACCCACTGTGGGAAAATCTCCTTTTATTTGAGCTTTTTCTTTCTTGCCTGTTTTTATACTTCATCTGTCTCATGTTGACTTTCATGCACATTGTGTTGGCTTGGACTTTTCTCCCCTTTTGAGTGTGAAGGAAGCTCTCAGTGTTCATCTGGAAAGCATTATTTTGCCAATTAAAACATTCCTGGATTGACATGTTATTTTTAAAATTTAGAGGCCAAATATAGATATATTTGCTGCACACTTGTAATGTGTTCAGCCTTTTCTCAAGACCAAGTAAGCTTCATTAATGAAAGTAGTGACAAGTATGCCATGAGAACCACCTCAGCTAGGAGACCTGCATCTGAACTGTGGATTACCATGAGGCTGTGCTAGAGGACTTTGCACCACTGCTGCACTTTTGCCAGTGCGTGAGGCCCACCTTACACCACACACTGCAGACATCTGCCAGACTCTTTTTTTGGCAACTGATAATTTTTGTGTCTCCTGGGAAAATCCTGATTTGCTTTTGTTCAAATTAATGTGTGTATGAGAGCTAGGTCTTCAGAAAAGTTCAAGAGTGGAAAGAATGTTACAGTATTGAAGCAAGGAAAAAAGGCACATATTAATATTGGTCATATAAATTAATTAAAATATTAAAAATCAATCCTTCACCATCAGTGTGAAAAGATAGTATTTTACATACTCTGCACATTACAGACCAACAAGATACAGCTTTTTGATGTCAGTAGAGGATACAGCTGTGTCTCCAGCATGGCATTGCTAGCAGGCATTTGCAGCAAGGGAAGGCAAGTCATCAAGAAGAGAAGCATCTTTTTTTCAGATTTTGTTTTTCTCAGGTTTTTGTCTGAGGAGGAATATGATTATAGGTAATGTAAGAATCAGCAATGCTGAATCAAATACACTGGTTTTCTAACCCAGTTCCTTATGTTATCCACAGACTGAATTACCATGATACTTAGGAAGCATGTGTTGAACCTTTCCCTATGCAGATGTATAATAACCATCCCTTTTGTTTTTAGCTTAGTTGTGTAAATGTTCCAGTTTGTAAATCATTTTTTGGTGTCAGTGCCAGTTTATGCAGTTGCCAGCTCTGGCTGTTCTCTTCCTGTGCTACCCCACAGCTGGCTGGTGTAGCTGGTTATGGGGCTCTAGATGAACTGTCGGGAAGCTTCTCTGGGTTAAAATAATGTTTTTTTAGGTAGGATACTTTATAATTTGATTGAGTTGATTTTTATGGTTTATATGTAGTTTCACAATTGTAACTGAGCAAATAGAACAAAAGTACTAAAATAGGAGTGAGGGAGAGAAGATGGGATCTGCTTAAGACGTTTACTTCTGTTGAAAGAATTAAACATGTAACTATGCTCTGAAAAATGGAGGTTTTAGATCTCAGCATCAGTTAGTGCTTAGTTGTTTGATGGCATTAAGGTATAAGGTATTTTGGGTTTCTTATATTCATTAATTTAACATTGTCGTCCCAAGTATGTGGGAGAAAGATTTCATTTCATGGTAGAAATATTTTGATGATTAGATGATGCATTTTTGTAGGCATATTGTTATTTTGTATTTAGATGTCATTTCAACCAGCTTTCCATCTGTCAGTGTAAGATCTAATGTAAAATTCTGTGCCACAGCCCAAGAAACTTTTGTTCTTATCTTTGATAATAATATGGGCACATCAGTTGATGTCCTCAAGCCCACTGAATGAATGGCTCCTGGGGAAAATACTTACCTTTTTCATGCATAAGAGAGATTGTTTGAAAGTAAAGACCGAAGATCTTTATCACATTTTTGGCATCTGTGTGAAGATTAAATATGGGGGCATCTTCGTATAAATTATTTATAAAGCGATCTTGTGATAGGCTGATGTCTGTCTTTGCCCTCTGTTATTTGGAATATACTCTGCATTGTCTATTGGATTTGGTTTCATGTAGACGTGAGAATTTGCACTTGCTTGCTTGCTCTCTATCTTTCTGTCATTTATGCATGATGGACAGTACTGATTTCTATTTATGCAGTGTCAATATTACATTAGCAGGTGTGTTGATTCTTGTCTCTTTCAGGGACGTGGCCATGGAGGCTATGATTCTGATTTTAGTGATGAGGAGAATGGAGAGAAGTCTGTGCAAAAGACTAAAAGGTAATGTAGTACACAATTAACACTTTGCATTGTATGTTGTGTGCAAATGGCCTATTACTGTATATAGAAGATCATGCTGTTGTAAGTAAAGTGTGGTGTTGAAATGGTTTGAAGTGGTTTTTGAAAAATCAGTCTCTGATTCCTGCATCTCCTCATGTCAAGCTTGCCAAAGAACGTTGTCTCCCAGGGGCAGCTGAACAAGGTCCATTCTGCCATGTCCATCTGGTGCCTACATGCCCCTCAGTCTTGGAGCAGAGCATTTCATTTTTCCAAGCATTAGTATCAACTGCTGAGGTTTGGCTGCACTGTTCATTTCACTGTGATCCGTCAGAATGCATGGAAAGGCTAAGAGAGAAAAGGAAAAAAGGCCAAATGGTAGCAGGCTTTGTAGATATAAAATGCCTGCTTGTAGGAAGTGAAGGATTTATGCTATTTGTTTATCATTTAATTTGTGAAGAGACCTGGAATTGGTGGTTATGTTGTGCTCAATCCTTGAAATGTAACTACACATCTCTTATTTGAGATCACCTTTGCCAGTTCTTTCAGTGGTTCACACAATTAGTGACCTTGACTTTCGGAGTCTGATCTCATTGTTGTTAATATTTTCATCTATATATGTGGTACCACAGTCCTTTGACACTTTCTGCACTGTACTGAGCATTTAGCCTATACTGTGCATATATTTTTCCTACCTTTTTCTGTCTCTCCCGTGCTCTGCTACTGGACTTTATTTGAGAAGGCTTTCTGGAAACTTTCCTAGGACACTTGCATATTTTCCCTTGTAGTAAAATTGAAAGAATGGGCTTTGTAGTGTATGAGTGCATCCTGGGGAAAAAAATTATGTTTTAATCATTGGAATAATAGCAGGCATTGTGCTGTTCCATTTATTTTATAAATATAGCTGTTCTCCATTAAAACAGTGACTGGTTTTGTTCAGTTTCTTTAAAAGGCCATTACACATTATACCATTCCACTTTCTATTCTAGGTGGAATATTAACAGGAGCCTTTCAAAAATATCATCATTACCCTTGTTCTGGCACACTACTGCTGATTCCCAGTTCGGCTCTAATGTGGGTTCACTGTATATGTATATATCCTTTTCTTGCTCTATGAAGATATTTATTTTCACTTGGTGGAAACTAGTAGTCTTAAGTTTTCTCCATATTCCTGTTTTATGGAGACTCCTTGTGGGAATTCTGTGCCTACAGATCCTTTGGAGCAAATAATAAAAAATCCTGAGTTTCTACAGTCCTATAGTCTATAGCTTGAAGTATGAATTCCTTGGCTTGGTTTCTACAGGTTTCTTATTTCTGCCAGCTGATAATTATGGAAAAATCTTTTCTTCACTTCTGTGAAGAATGGAACTAGCTAAATATATCTTTTACTAGCTAAGTGCATCACTTTATAGTTAAATTTTTTATTACTTTGTTGAATTCTGAACGTATTTTTAGCTGCCCACTGACAACTATGCTTCACAATCCAGTACTAAAGTTTTAAATGAGTGATTCTTTTGATTACACTGAGAGGCAGAGTTATTTAATGGGGTGTTGAGACATTGGCATGAAAGGATGGGGTAAGGTTACTAGCAGTCACTCTTATTTAGTGAACATACTGTCCTTCCTACTTCCTGCTTGGTTGTTGAGCTGAGATTTCTGGAGCTTTGCACATGGAGGGAAACTGAGGAATATTCATGTTTTTTTCACTGTAGTTCTATAGTGATAATGCTAAAAATAAATACTACAGATTGCTGTTTTAAGCAGGTTATTTTTAAATGCTAACTGTAAGCAAATGCCTTTATTAGTTTGTTCTACAAATGAAGTAAAGTTTAACCTGATGTTGGTTATGAAGTTTGGTTTTATCCCTGTAGAAACTAGCAATATAGCAGGTTTTGTCACTCAAACTAGTGCAGAGTTTAGCATATGCAAATTTTATTGCTTATGTAAAGTTCTTGACTAACTTTTCTGCCTTTCTCCTCCCTACCTTTAGTGTAAAGGAAGATGGCCTTCTGATAAAGCCATTCCAGAAAACAAAGCAAGGCAGCTTGGTTCACAGACAATTTGCAGCTGAAGAATGGGATAGGTATGTTCTGTCTGTTGCTTTTGTGAAACATTTTTCACTTAATGTAAAGACATCTGTCACTCAAATGTATTCATTATTAACAGGGAAGAAGCAAGAAAACGAAGATGCCACCTGATAGCAATGGATGCCGTATCCTTCTGTTTCTTTTTAATTTAAGTTTGAAGATGGAGCACAGGTTATCCCTTATGTTGAAATACTGGGATTGCTCAGTTATCACAGCAGTTGACAGTGTAGCACCAGATACTGAGTTGTTCTTAAAATTAGTTTCTTTTTGTTGCTGAGATGACTGAGAATACTCTAGTCAGTAGAAGCATTGTCAGATTTGTCCTATAAAATCATTTGTCCTGTTTGGGATGAAGTTACATAGTGAATTTTATTTAGACTGGCACGAAGACACTTTGCTGTTTCAGTTGAGCTTATACAGAGCATAATTCCATAAAAGGTTGCTATGACCTATGGACAAATACATTTCTACTGGAAATTTAAGAAAACATTAGTTAGTTCAAAAGTCTATTCAAACCAGCCTGATCTCCAGTAATATCTTCTACAGCTACTCTAATATAAGCTATTTAATATCATGTGAAAGGTTTTTTTGCTATCTTAATCATATTTCATGCATAATTTTAAACTGTTTTTATAACTACTACCTTATTTAGGTTACAACCTTTCTTCTTTCATTCAGTTTTCACCTGGGCCAGGCGTTACATATTTTGACTTCAGTGTATCTGAAATACTATCAGTTCCCTGTTTGTTTAAATAGCTGTTCTTCAGCAGTAACAGTTAATAAATAGGAAAGTAAAGACTAATTATATGTGGAAAGACTTACTTAAATCTGAAAACTGCAGTAAACAGACAGTAACTTCTCCTAACCTGCTTGGGATTTGGCCAGGCACTGCATAAACTATTATATGTCTGTGAAGGGGACATATCTTAAATCAGTCCCACTGACTTTGTGGACTGTCATTAGCCATAGAAAAGCCTTTATATGCTGGAATGACTATAAAACTCATTATGTAGAGACTTTTATGAGTTTCTGCTAATGTTTTTTAGTAGTTTATATGTAAAACCTTGACTGTTATGCAATTTTAACACCTAGTAACTCAAATAGCAGCACAAGGTAGTATGTTTTGTTAAAAGTGCTTATTTGTGCCAGTTAAATATTCTGGGCTTGCTTCTCTGTCCTGTTTGTGGTGGAAGGAGAAAAGAAAGATACATACTGAGGTTAAATTAACTTTTTGAAGGCCTTTGGAAATTAAATGTTTTCTCAATGAAATTCTAATACATGTCTGAATAGCAGGTTGATAAAAATTATTCAAACTGATGCAGTATTTGCCGGGATATGTACCAGAAGATACTGTGTTTCTCAGTTTGCTGCTTCAGAAACACCATACAAGTTAATTGAAAATATTTTTAAATAGCCGTATATAATGTTTTTATTTATGAAGACATTTTCTGAGTAAGTAATTGCATATTTTTGGTCAAATTATGGTACAAAATGTGTTTCAAATTATGTCTCTGAGGCCAAAGTGTTCTACGGTAAGCATTACATACTTTTGTCTCCCAACCAAGGAAGATAGATAATTTTTATTTGAATGTGGATGATAAAGTGTAATAAATTATTCAATTTTAGAATCCAGACTATTTACATAATATGAAAATACAAGTCTGGTTGAAACTTAAACTGCAGTTCTAAGAAGCTATTGTTTAACTCGCAGATGAGAAAATGGACCCAGTTTCTATCTATATGCATACAGAGCATCTTTGATAGAAGAGAAATTTATAAAGGTCTGGCAGCTGAATGAGGTTGAAAGATGAAGTTGCCTTGAATTCCTGTATTTGGAAAAAACAAAAAACCAAAACCCAACCCTCATTTCTGTTAAGTATATAAAAAAGCTTTTATTTTTATTTTTTATTATTTTTAAGCTATGTTAAAATAGAATATAAGTTCTGCAGCCATCCTTAATTGCTTTATTCAGTATGAAAGACATAAGAAGCTTGTGAAAGATTACATTTTGTACTATGGTGGCAAAATAGAAGATTTCCGACGTTCTGGGTAAGAACCATTGGCAATCTTTCCCCTCATGCCCCAAAAGCTCCCCTGTTATGTAAAGCCGTTAAACATATATTGTAGCTTTGTGGGGAGAGGGGGGTTGTGGCTGTGCATCAAGTTACTAATTCTTTTGATCATAAATAGTAACTACATTCATTGTAAATAACCAAGACACAGAATTGCCTGGTTTAATTTTTGTTTTGGGGTTTATGGTTGTTGGGGTTTTTTTCCATATTTTTATATAAGAATTTACCATGAACTGAATTATTCTTTTTTTATTATGTAAAAGGAAAGATGACAGATTAGCATTAATTTTGTATTGAGGGTACATTGAGAAATGTCTGTCAGTAACTTCAAAATAACAATCTGAAATACTTCTGAAATGTGCAGAATTGCTATCCATTGTCCAGAATAATGATAACCTTCTTTAGGGCTGTCTGTAGCTGCCTTCTAACATTACTGTCTTCAATAAAAAGTGTAAAAAGTATTTTCAGACAGGATCAAGTCATCCCATTTCAGTGGCCATTTTCCACTATGAATTTTTCACTGGGGAAAAGATACGACAGGGAATACATGTTTTGTTAGTTTTATTCCATAGCAATATATTCCTTTTCGCAGTGAGGCAGAGATCACAACTGTGAAATAGTGGTGTTTACCAAAATGTTATTTGACTGACTTTTCATTTTAATGTTACATTGTACTAAAAAAAATGTGTCCTTCTATAGAGCAAATGACAAGACGGATCTCGATGTTATTAGAGAAAACCATAGATTCCTGTGGCACGAAGAAGATGAAGCAGACATGAATTGGTACCTGGAACTGTTATAGAACATGTTATTTTTTAGATCACTTGTATTAAATTTGTGGTGTCCCCTACTAATTAAGAATTACTGTGCATACTTAGTGATAACTCTTTGATCCTTAATGCATTTAAAAATTAAAGACCTTATAAAGGTCAGTGCAAAATTAATTGATGACAGAAAGAACTGAGAAATGTTTGTGTGATCTCTGAGATCCAAATGTCTGTTCTGAAAACTCAGAAGGAAGCCTAGTTTGAAAAAAATACAGTTTAATTTGTGCCATAGATGTATTTTAGATGTATTTTTCTAGTTTTATGGAATTATCTCTTGGCTTAGTGAGTGTATTTCTGTTGAATTTTTAGCCTTGCAACTTCTGTTCTTTGGATTAAGCAACATGTCTTTATCTTGCCAATGTGATTACAATGCAAAATGAATCATTATCATGTTTTGTTTAATAAATATAATACTTTTCCTTACAGGGAAAAGAGGCTTGCAAAGAAGTATTATGATAAGTTGTTCAAAGAATACTGTATAGCAGATATCAGCAGATACAAAGAGAATAAGGTACATTTCAGTATTGTAAATCATTTTGGTTTTAAAGTATGCCCTTTTTAAAAAATTGCCTTGATTTTGTATATGTTGTGAAACCAGAATGTTATTACCCCTGCCCTAGAAAGAGAATTGTGAGAACTTGTCAAGTTATTTAATAAGAAGCAGCAGTTTGAATCCAAGCATTGTTGCTGCCCCAGAAATGTGCTTCTGTGGGAAGAGGAGCTCTTCAGTCAGATGGTGTTTTATGAAGAGGTACATTGTGTATAAGAAAGGCAGAAAATGCAGAGCGGTTAAGGAGAGAAGGCGATAGAAGTTTGCCTGGAGAGAATCACTGGGTGAAGCCTAAAAAAAGTCCCTGGGAATGTTACTATTAAGGGGAAAGAAAAAAAAAGACATAGTCTAAAAAGAGAGAGTTTTGTACTGGGATGCTGGCAGAAACAATTTTGGAAATATCTGTTCTAAAGCAGTTTCCTTTGCTGGTTGTTCTTTTCTGTTTATGGAAACAGGATTTGTATGTTCCTTGTAAATAAATAGAATTTAAGAGAAACAGCCCAATTCCAGCACCAGTTTTTCTTAACTGGAACAACCTTTGTCGTTTTGAAGTTTCTGACTGACTAACCTCTTGGTCAAAAAGAATACATGAAATTTCTATTGTGATTTTGCAAAGAGCATTGCTCAACTCGGACGTCTTAAGTGTTGTTAGCACATAGTAACAACCCAGCCCTGCAAACAGTGGCTATATAAAGTTCTTTGAGACTATTTATAGTATTAAAAATTATGTTCACTGGTAAATGTTTGCAAGGACTGGACATAAACTCTAATATTAGGTAGAAAAGATGACAGCCTTCTAAAGACCATCGTAACAGAAAAATGCAAAAATGAAATGAAAATTAATAAAAAGTAAAATTCTGAAGAAGTCTTCCTTCCTTTTTTTTTTTTTTTTTGGAGTAAATTTAATTTTATTTTCCTATAGCTGTTTCATATCCCTCAATCTTCGACCCACCCTCCAGCTGATTTTCCCTCAGCATGCTTACAGATTTTGTTTCTTCAGCTACCGTGCCAAGTTTCCATATGTTTGCTGTCTTTTGTGGGAAACAGTTCTGCCCCAGTTTCCATTTTTTTGTGTGTGTGTGTGCGTGTTGTGCAAACAGTGTTTCCCTGACAGACTTAAAATGTGGCTGTCCTAACTCTGAGGTCACTCTGAATTCCTATGTATGCTCGTAAGTCATTAACTATATTTTTGGAGTTGCCATGTCAGCATAGCTCTGCTGTATCATGTAAGTAGTTCTCTTATATTAGGCTATGTTTTCTATTCTCAAATATGTTCTGAGCATGTCCTTTCTTAGAAATTCTTAGAAAAATGAGAAAAATCTCTTTTTTTTTTCTCATTACTGATCTATCCATGCCCATGTTTGGTACAGAAGGATATCAAAGCAGGTTTTTTTCTTGGAAGTCAGAAATAGTCTGCTGGTCCCATTCGCACCAGTGGAATGCAGTCTGTGCTTTCAGACTTTTTCTGCGTTGATTCTTTTTCTGCATTGACAGAAACTGGAAATTGGATATCTTTAGCCCCCTGTGCCTTCTATTTTGCAGTTCCCGTGCTTTGAGAGGTGAAGGATGGGTAACAAGCATCTCGGCTGTCCAGTCTTTTGTATGCCAGTTATTGATGCTTTATATGATGATGCTTCCTCTTAATACAAGGAAGACATTTTTTACAGTGAGAATATTAATCCACTGAAACAACCAACAACCTCCCCAGTGGTGAAGAAGAGTCTGTCACTGGAGGTTTTCAAGATGTTGGACAGGGTGATAGGTAACCTCATCCAGGCTCCCTTTCTCACAAAAGCTTAGACCACATCATCTTTTGAGGTCCCTTTCCTGGACTGTTCTGTGGTTCTATATCCTGCTAAGTGGTGTCAAAGTAAAGTTGGAGGCCAGTTTTCTGTGATGTTTTTAATATATATATAGCATAGATTGAGACTTGTATGTACATACTCATGTCTTTTCACAATGGTAATTGTTTTGCTACTGGCCAAAATCTTCCGGGCAGCTAATTTTTTTAAAGACCTCTGTATAGAGATTGTAGCTCAGATCTCATGTAGAACTTTTATTCTGAGAAAAAAACACTTGTTTTCCTAAGTACTAGATAATGATAAGGACCAGTTCTATGCAAGTTCTCTTGAAAAATAAGCAGAGTACCTTGTCGAAGACCAAAGCTCAAAACAGAAGACTCAAGACATATGAACCCCCAATGGCACGGCTGCTCCTCAATTGCTAGTTCAGACTGTTTCACTCACATATGTGCATGCATATACATATACGCACTCACAGAGATGGCTGGGACTCCCCTTGTCCTATAGGAGATACCCCCTGTGCTCTTGTCATTAGAGATACACAGGTGCTCTCATACTCAGAGGTGGCTGGTGGTGACCCATTCATCCTCCTTTCTCCCAGGCTACTTCACCTAACTGAGGGCTAGTCTGCCTCAGTCTTTGCTGGTGCTCACACACTCATTTGCACACAAGCACTCACCTTGCTAGCTGCAGACAAATGGGACCCTGTGATCTACAGTCCCACTTTTCTTTGTGTAGTTAGGATGTATAAACTTTTTCCTCTCTTTTAATGAGAAGTGCCAAGGTGACCCTGGGGCATGAGGTTACTTAGAGACACTGGAAGAGTGTGCTCTGACAGCTCTTACTTGTGATGGGTCTGTTATTTCTTGTATTTTCCCTAAATCAGAATTTTTAGGTCAAAGTTGTCTTTGAACCTTCTGTTTATCTTGTCTGCAAGCTTTGAGGCTGATAAATGACCATCTCATTGTCAGATAGTTCTGTTCTATTGTCAGTTTTGCAGTGCAGTAAGGAAGAGTGCTGTGCATGTAGGTTTTACTTTGATACACATTGGACTAGAAATGTTGTCTTTGTTGTCTTATTTTCCTAGAAACGTTCTTATTTATTGTCTCTCTGCTTTGTTTTGTAGCTTAACAGATTGGAAATGTCTCCTATTTGCTAAGAAATGAAATCTGTTTGACACCTGGTCATTAAACAGAATACATTTTATACTTTGTTTTGATTTCCAGATAATTTTCGGATTTCTAGGGAAGCTTGTCTTCCACTGGTAATGTCAATATTTTTGCTTTGTCACTTTTTCAGCATGGAGGCTTTCTTGCAAAAAAAAAAAAAAAAAAGTAAAATATAGTATTTTTCTGCAGTGTTGTCTGAATTCACACATTTCTTTTTTTGTGAAAGAGGTCACTGGACATTAGTTGTTGCTGCAGCCAATGCATATTATGCAAGCAGTCCATATTTAATTTGAGAATTTTATACCTATGGATATTAAATGGTCTTTCACATTTTTTATTAAGTTAGCCGTTTGATACTCTTGCAAAGCATCTGTTTTGGTGTGCCTTGTAGAAATAGCTCATTTAGGATCTTGATGAACTTATTTAATAAAGAAGATGAGGCAGAATTATAGAATCATAGAATGATTTGGGTTGTAAGAGACCTTAAAGATCATCCAGTTCCAGTCCCCTTGCCATGAGCAGGGACACCTCCCACTAGACCAGGTTGCTCAAAGCCCTGTGCTGTCTACTGATGATGCTTTTGCATTCCTTAATATTGCAGGCCAACTCTTAAACGTCATACCCTAATTTTTATTTTTCTTATACAGTTTAATTTGTTCCTGAGATTTTAGCTTAGTTAGAGGAATTCAGTTATATTTAATTTTTATTTTATTGTTTCTTCTTAGCCTTGGCCACTTTCTGTCATTTTCCTTTAGTTGGTGGAAGAATGACTGGCAAAAACGGATGCAAATGAGTTCAACTTTTGTCCTAGATATACTTACAGGTTGTTCTGGCTACCTCTTTTATTTTGCTTAGTTTTCTTGATATCATTACAGAAATACTCTGTAAGGATATAATCTCATTTACATTGTATTGAGTCAGCTTCAGACAATGAGGGAAAATTTGTGTAAAAGTCTTCTCGAATAGCAAAAGTGTGCATGGATAACTTGGTGATTGCTGAAGTAACAGATGAACTATGAAAAAGCAAATATGCAGATAAGGTCAAATTGTTCTTTACTTTTTATTGACAGCAGCACACATGTTCAGAATTGGTGCCAAAGTATTGTTGACATTTAATAGTAAACTTGCTGTATTTTTCAATTGCATCACAAGTTTTTCAGGATTAGAAAACCTTGTAGACCATCAAATATTCTTTGAAGAGGAAAACCAATTGCCATAACTCTTTGGATGAGCTGGTTCTGTCATTAATTCTGCACTCACAGATGTATTTTACATTCTGTTTTCACTGAACTATTCAACACAGTTCTTGGTTTTTACAACTGACTTTTTTTTGTTTGACCCAAGCTTGAGTGGTCTAATGGTACTTCAGAGCACGCTGCAGGTTTGTAGAGCAGGTGAAGCACAATCTGATCCAGTCTTAGCAAACTGTCATATTCTGTATGATAGCAGAACCTGATTGGTGATTTTTTTTCACTGGTGAAACCAGTGGGTATGAAAACACTGTTTGTGTTATAACACAAATTCAGAAATTAGTGGACTGATTTAAAGTGGCAAGTATTTTGTTGGTGTACAAATTTTTAGTATTCTTAGATATCTATGTAATATATTGACTTGGAGAGAATCAATGCTGACGAAATATTTGGCTGCTGACACCTTTCTGTTAAGTTTGTTCAGCTTTGTTACTAAGTTTCAAAGCATGTATATGAAAGTATGGCACATTCTTAAAAGCCAAAACTTTAAATGTTTTTTACTGATGTTCTTTGAACCACATACTACTTCACATATGAGAACTCCATGGTGTTGCCCTTCAGATAAAGAATTATTATTGTTTATTAAAAAATCAGCAACGTTCAAGACCACACACAGCAATAGGTACTTGTGCTTCTGTGGAGTGTTCAAAACTAAATTTAAAAGATTGAAAATCAATACAGGATATTGCAGAACTTACACATTTACAAAGTGCACATTTGTGTGGTTTCAGTCTATCAGTGCACCAGGAGAAGGTTCATATCCAAAGGGTGCTTTGGAACCCAGGTTCCAAAGGTGGGCTTTGCAGCCATTTTTGTATCTCTTGGATTTTGTAATCCTTCTTTTCCCTCTTCCCTCCCCATCTTTTAATGTGAAGTTCAGAGTTTTCTGTGCTTTGCTCACAGAGCAGCAATTTTATCTACTTGTCATCTTCTGTTCACGAATTTTAAATGAAAATACAAGATAGCCTTTTTTAGAGAACTTGTATGCCTCTTCCTACTTTTTATTGAAAATAGAATTGTATTTTCCATGCTGTTCGCACTCCCTTCCATCTTCAGTCTTTTCACTGGGGTACTTGACATATTGAGAGTTTGAAGCAGATTCTGTTGGAAAACAAAAATAATAGATGGGTTATCTACAGGTAAAGTTTCTAGGCAATGTAAAGAGAAATACAACTTAGTTGCCAGTTGGTTGGGTTTGAGTTTTTTTGCCTTAGAGTGTGAGAAGTGATCTTTTGATAATGTGCTAATACAACTTTTCAGTATTCCAGTGTTGTTTTCAGCATGGACAAAACTGCAAGGAAGTAGCTAGTAAAGCCAGTCTATCCTAATTTCCTATTTGTTCTTCTGCATGTTGTGAAGCCTTTTAGCGAGTTGCTGTTTGAATTGCATGTGTAAATTGGAATAATTCTGTCAAGCAGAGGGAGAGAGATATTTTTAATTAACAGAGAAAGAAATGAAATGCAGGGTATCAGTCAACAGAAATTAGAGTTTACACTGAATGCATCAACTGTTCACAATTCTGGTTCTTATCTTAACAGTTTGGATTTAGATGGCGACACGAGAAAGAAGTAATTTCAGGAAAAGGTAATGCTGTCTTTAGTTTTATATTATTTTCTTCCTTAATGCTTTTCTTGCTGCTTTTTGGTATAATTTTGTTGACAGTATTTGACAATACTGGTAAGTTTATCGAGTAACAATGGATAATTAATCGACCTAACTTCTAACTTTGCTGGTATATGTCACATAGCTCTAGTGTGCACACTAATTAAAATTAAGAAAACGTGGTTTATTTTCACAGGGTCAGATTTGTAATGAACACCAACATAATTCATTTGATAATGTAGCTTTTCATGGATATTTTTTTTAGCTCCCTTTCTGCAGTAGTCCTGTTACCTCTTTAGTCTTTGATGGTTTTAATTGAAGTCTCTCAATACTTTTCCTCAGGAAATAGTTTTCTTAACTGTTTCTGCAGTGCTGTTTTGCAAAGTATTTACTTTTTAATTAAAGTTCCATGTGTGATGTCTGGTTTAGGGTAAATTGGTTTTTGAAAGCTTCAGTGGGGATGCTTGTCAAGTCTCCCAATCCTGTTTCTAAATCAGTAGCTTATTCTGCATGCTTATATGTGTGAGTTCTTATGTGTTATTGGGACTTTGCACAGTGATCCCCCTTTGATGGCCTGGGTACATGGAATTTTTGAATTGGCCAAGCAAGGAAGAAAATCACGTGATTCTATTGCTGTTCCTGTGGGTAGATCTTCATACACATGTACGGTTTTCAGAAGTCATGTATGCACACACAAGAAAATTGCATACAGTAATACTGTTGATCAGAACAGTTCTGTAAACAGTTCTATTTATTATAATCTATTGCAAGAAGTTACAAATATACTTTTTTTTAATGTATCACTTCACAGAAAGAAGTATGACATTAATGGCTGGGCTTTTTAACCTGTAAAGATTAAAGCTTCTAAAGGTAGTTGTAGTCATATGTTGTATTCAGCACTGCAGATTATATAAACAGATAATTACATTTGATACAGTTGCATGATTTATTGATTGCTTTTAAAAATAAAATTAAATGAGAAATGAATAATTTATGAACAGTTATGTCTTTGTGGTGGAAAAGAATTTAAAGCTGCATTTTACTTTTTTATATCTGATACTCTAAGAATGTGGGAGAAGATGCAGAATTACGTGTTTTAAGCTTTTTAATGGAAACCTGATGAAAAGCATACAGTAGCAAGAATTGAGAAACTATCTTTTACCACTAAGGGGCGCAAGAATTCAACCTTATTTCGTGTTATCAGATGCTCTTTTCAAGTGCGGTTTCAGATGATCATTTAAAATAGGTGTGACTCTTTAATGCCTTTCTTTTGCTGTTTTAACTATAAATAACTAATGTAAATTGCTTTAATTAAAGCTAATAAAGCATTAATACCTACCTGTCTGATAATTCATATTTTTAAAGGGAGAGCATATGTTTATTGTAGCAATCACAATAATAGTTGTGATGCAAGCCACTGCTGGTGGACTGCACTGTGTATTGAGGTATGTTGAGAAGGGAACATAAGAGTGGGTTATTCACATTTGATTGCTTTGTTTTCAATATCTGTTTTCATAAGGTCATGCAGGAGAAGAAGGGTTACGATGAGTGAAAGGAGTGGTATTACTCATATTACTAATTGTAAATGCCAAAATATTTCTCCTCTCTTCTCCTTGCATAGGAGGCCATATTGGAGATTGCTGTTGTATCTCCTGAAATTTAAAATGTAATCTTAATGGTGGTTAATGACATAATACACTGACAGTTTCAATAAATGGTTCCTCAGAATGGGTATTTTCTTAATTAAAATCTTAAGGTAGAAGCCCTACTTTAAGTTTTATAAATCAGTGAATAGTAGGCACAAGATTAATTAAATTAAAAGCTTTTAAGCTATTTAAAAATCATATTTGGCATGCCTTCCCAAGTACTTTTTCTCTACTTTCAAAGCATGAACAGTAAGGTATGGCATAACATTTAATAGTAAATGATATTTTAGGCAAAAGGCCTAAATTATTTTCTTTAGAAAAATAGGAAACATTGGGTAGAGATGGAATAGGACTTTTTCACAATATGCAGAAAGAGTAAAGCTGAACATGTGGGTATATATGCTATTCTCTACTTACTTCTATTTCTCAATTACATAGTGAAATACTCAAACCAGCCATATTATTATATGGTGAAATAGGGTTTAATACCTGTAAATTCATCTTCTTTCCATTTTTTTCACTATTTCATTGAACTAACATTTCACTTTTAGCATAGTAGTGTCTCTCTTAGCCTATTTTATACATGCATAAATGCACTTATAATATACCTTATTTAAACAGACGTTTTTCCAAACCTGTTTCCGTTTATTCTTTCTCAGTAATTTTCTCCATAGAAAATAGGCAAGGTAAAATGGAAAATACCTGGATAGTGCACCACGTAGCCATGTACCAATATGTTTTTTGTGTTCAAGTGCTAGCATTGGAAGTGGTTTTATGTTGCAGAACTGAAGTATTTGAGTGGATAGTGCACCACGTAGCCATGTACCAATATGTTTTTTGTGTTCAAGTGTTAGCATTGGAAGTGGTTTTATGTTGCAGAACTGAAGTATTTGAGGACCCATTAGTTAGCAGCTTAAGCAGAATAGTCTGAGCTTAATTGTTCATCAGTGGTCCTGCTTGTCAGCCTATTAATACACATCCTTGTTGCCAGCTCTGCATACATATCAGTCTTCTGCAAAGGGGATATATGTTTCTTTATTACTGCAGTGTTGGGAACCCAGTGGTGTGAACAATATTATGTGTAAATTGTTTAAAATTAGTGTCATATTTTATATAATAAACTCAAGGAAGCTTTTAAAGCTGATGTATAATTTCTCACAGAATTGCATTTCCTTTTCTTAAAAGACAAGTGTTCATGGAAAGTCAATAAAATGCAAATTTTATGTCCAGTATATCAAGTGGACTAAAAAGGTAATAAGAACACGGGCATCTCAGTTTTATACCTAAATGATACTTTGAATAGTTTGATGTCATTAAAGATGCATGTCTGAATCACACCTCCTGATCCATCACTCTCTGCTGAGTAAGTAATCATATAGGATATGAAATGTAACCTAGTGACATTCTTTTTGTCAAAGTTCAGTATTAGGCTTACTATTTTATAACATATGCCTCCATCTACACATTGTAAAACACAGTTCAAGTTCTGTTTTTTCTTTGCTAATATGCAGTACTAGACAATCATGATTGAATGCTTTGCATTATCTGCTATTGTTTCCTTAATCTAGATGCTACTTGTAGATTTGTGCTTTATCTCTTTGAAAGAAATGGAAAATAAAAAGGAAAAACTGAGGAAGACTGGAAATAACAAGCCCAAACCTGTGCATGTTCGTTACTGAACCATGGTTTGCTGGTTTTGACTTCTTTAAAGGTCAGTTTTCCTGTGGAAATAAGCACTGTGATGAGAAAGAAGGCCTGAAGAGCTGGGAGGTGAATTTTGGTTACGTTGAACATGGTGAAAAGAAGAATGCGCTTGTGAAATTGAGTAAGTCAGCCCTTCAAGGATATGTACATTTAAAATAAGACAAGTATCTTGTCCTTTAAAAGCTGTTGAGTGAGATCCAGTGGTAATGATTATTAGTTCATGCAAAATGGAAAATGTTGAATAGGAGATAATCTTGTTCTATTAATTACAGGTAGCATGATAGTCTTGATTTAGAGAGAATGGCTGTTATCATTATATATGACAAAGTTGTTACAGGTTGAACAATTCATGTTGTATAATTGGTGGTGCCATAAATTAAGGTAACTGATTATAGAACATTTTTTACACAAGCATGTCTAGTTTTAATGAACAGTACTATTTTGTAAGGACGGTTTCATCACTGTACTTGCTTAATCAATTAGGTGTCTTAGGATTCCTTAGGGATTTGGATCGGACAACTTCTTGCACACCTTCAGTTCTACTGATTTTAGTACTTAACGTTTTCTTCCAAAAATTCTAACTTCAATTATGTCACTTTCTTTTCCATTCTTGCATCTTGAATGGAATTTTCTTATTCAGTACTGTGTACACGTTGATATGTTCATCAGGTAATTAAACTTACCACAGTTTACACAGTTACTTTGCATAAGATAAGCTAATGGTGTTATTTTCTTTTGTGTACAAGAAACTCCATGTGGCAGCACTTGGTCTCTGGCAAAGCTCTAAGAGACTTGAGAATCTTTGGTATAACTGTAGAACAATTTGGTCTATCCACAGAGATCCATGAAATGGGTTATCTGTAAGAGATAAGCACTGATAACTTTGTTATGAAGAGTTGCCAGCTCTAAACCTGTGATCTTCCTCCAGGCTTAGTAAAATCTGGGTTTGTACTGAAGATGTATATCATGGTATATTTCTCAGCCCTGGCTGCAATTATATTGTAACCTTTGTTTTGAAGGAAAAGCTACTGAAATTGAAAGATAGTAGTTCTATCTAGTTTTGTGTACGTATTAATGTTTTAATAATCATGCTTATCAAATAAATCTCTGTAATGTTCTCATTCCCTCTTTTTCAGGACTGTGTCCAGACTGTTCCCACAAATTAAACTTTCATCATCGGTAATGAAATATTTTGAAAACATGTGGGTTGAATAGATTAAAGTTGTGATGAAGAGCTAATAGGGAGAAAGCTTCAGCTAGATGATAAAGAACTTTATGCTGATTTCAGATTCTGTTCTGGAGCTCTTAGCTCTTATAATGCTACTGGCTTGCCACTGCTGAGAGTTAGATACTAGTGTGCTAATGAAAGTACAGAATCCCTCAAAGTGGAAGAATCCCATCCCTACCCCCACAAAAGTTTCCTTAGTTTCAGTACACTGATTATTCTTCTTTTCTGAAAGTTTATGCAAAAGACTGTCTTTTTTATTTTCTCTCTTGCTGTGTTTAAGAGCTGGAATGCTTTTTCTATTCTTAAAAGTAGTGGGTTTATGTGTGAGTCAAGTGACTGTGCTTTGACATTTTGAATTTGAGTATTTGAGAATCAGTTATTAATAGGAGAGAAAAATTGTAAATTTTGAACCTGTAAAATGTATGCATTAAAATTTGATTTTATTTTTTTTATATTATCTGTAACCTTAGTGAATTCCACAACTGTTGATATTCAGGTTTTATGTTTTTTTTAATCTTGATGTGGCATTAACTTAGTTGCATGGCTCAGTACTTAAGCCATACAGTTACCTGAAATTCATAAAAGGAAAAGGAAACCTTACAAGTAGGAAACTGATTTCTTTTCTAAAGTAACAAATCAAAGGTATGTTAATGAATCAAGACTGTTAATGAATCAATTTTAAAAGTTAATACATATTCAGTTTCATTAAAGCACATTGTAGGCACATATTAAGAAGAATTAACTAAATGAGATTACTTTTTTGTCTTCTTTTTGGAAGTAAAATTGTAAAAGCACTTGAATTCAGAATAAGTATGGTCAAACATTTTGTCAATTGCAGAGTAATACTTTGAAACAATTTACTGACTTTGTGCAAAGAAGCAGGAAAAAGTTAGGCTATGTTCATGTGATAAGCCTATATAAGTAAGGCTGACAATAAAATACACGGGTTGTTGGTTTGTAGCAGGTTCTTAGATTTGAGATTCTTCTGCCTCAGATTTCATTGCTATCAAATATGAAAACAAATTTTAAGACCTGTATTAACTATGTTTTTTTCATTACATATATAAAAATAGTTTTCTGAAAGAAAAAATAAGGTTTTAGTATAACTGAGTATTTGGCATATTATAAAATAATTTTCTGGTTTTAATATTTAAATGCCAATAAGAACTGTTTTTTCTGCCTGCATCAGTGTCATTTTAGCAGCTTCGTAATTCCTGTCCTATGCCTTCAGCTATAGAACTTTAGTGTTTCTATTGCACTTCTCGTTTTAACTAATTTTTTTTTTTCAGTTTACTTATAGGGTATAGGAAAAAATGACAAATATTTGACTGAATTAAATAGTCAAGATTTATTATTGTTTGAGACTATGTATTTTGAAGGTGTGCATTCATTTTTTTTAAAGGAGGAAAGAAGTCAAAGCATGCAAGAAAAGAGGCAGAGCTGAACCAAAATCTAAAGAGCCAAAAAGTAAGAAGAAAAAATCTTCTTCAGCAAAAAAGAAGTCCAAAAAAAAGACCTGTGAAGGTAAATTTTAATTTTAAATGTTTAATTTTTAAAAATATTCAAATATGTTAGTTGAATCTTAGTTTTGCTATAGCTACATGAATATAGATATGTAACTTCCTTGATTATAACACAGATGGTCAAAAAGATGAATTTCTTAGGTAAAATTTTGTGGGTGCACAAAAAAGATGAATTTGGAGAAGAAAAAGAAAAGATAATTTTCTAACATTTACAGAGAGGGAGAGCCTTTAGAAAAACATGCATTGCAAGGAAAAATTGGCCAGGTATTGGACGTTACATACCAGAAGGGGTTGTGAAGTATTTAATTCCTTGAGGCTTTGGGGTTGAAAGCCTTTTAGAAATGTTAGGTAGATAACCTTTTTACACCACAGATCTCAGGATAAAATGTTTGGGCTCAAACTGATTAACTGTGAACACATGCAGAAAAAATCTTTCTACTTTTTGCTTGCTTTGAATATATGTTGTGTACATGCTTGCACACATGTTTATGTGTAATATATTGTGATAGAAATATCCTTATATGCAATTTAGGATAAAAGATAAATTAAGATATACTTACTATTTTTTAAATGGTGTTTCTTACCAGATGAGGTTTCTTCAGAAGATTCAGATAATTCTGATAAAGGTAAAGTATTTGAGCATCCTTCTGCGTTTTATGTTTTGTAGTAAGTTGTATTATCTCATAGTCAGTTGTCACTGGTCTTAGTTTTAATTGTAGGATAACTTTTTGTGAGATATGAACGCTGTGTGAAAGCAAGAAGACATATGAAAGGTCAAAATAATTTCTTACAAAGTCTTGGAGAAAAACTGCAAAGAATTTTAAGAAGGAAATCTTTCAAGTTTAAGGGATAAAAATGTGGGCAGATAATAGAACAGAAATCTGAAAAGAGTAGGGGGCACAAAATACCTACATTGTTAATAATTGCATGGTTCCAGCAAATATGTGCTGTATAATGTGTGCTGTGTAAAGAAAGTACTTTTCTGATATAATAACTGCTACATTCCGCTTAAGGGAATCACACTAGTATGTACTGTACTAGAATAAACCCTAGGCTTTAACTCATGCTTTTCCAGCTACCACCTGTAGTACCTCAGAGATTGACTTGTGGATGCGTTCAGTCTCAGTGACTTTAGATTGCTTCTGTATCTCAGTAGTTCCCATCGTTTCTTTTGTGATGAAACAAGCTCCACCTCCTGGTCATGACAGTTCATGCTGCCGACTATGTAGAAGGGATTGTTTCTACTGGTCGTTTTGCTGTGCTATACATTTTTAGGAATGTCCTCAGCACCTAGCTTTACCCAGTTAGGTACAGGAAGACCTGACACAGTTTTCTTACACTTAGACCATGTCCAAAGTCTGTCTTATCAGGAAAGCACTATTGGAAGATTATTGTCTTTTTTAGGTCAGGGCATCTTTCTGATGACAAGATTTGGGGTTTTTTTTGTTGTCATTCCTTCTGTATACTTACACTAAACAGTTATGCAGTAATCCATGGTTTTTTACAATTTCACTTACAAATCACGATAAAAGTCATTCGAGCAGAAGTAATCGATTCATTTAATATCATGAGTTGAAACTGGAATGTAATTCTGTGTTTGTGATTATAAGCAATTTTAGGAACAAAGTGCTGTGCTGCTCTTTTGTCAAAGATCAGTGATTTGACACGATTGTTCTTTTGTTTGGCCAAAATATTAACTCATAATAGCTAAGAGTCTTTTTGATCTGTATTGAATAACATTTGAAAATGTTTTCATTTTCACTTTATGCAAAGCAAAGCTTTCTTTTTATTCTCATGGTTACAGTTAAACTTTGTGCCTAGCAGTATATAGTCTAAATAGAAATAAAATGATAAATTCTTAAAAAATTCATTTCATAACCACTTTAAATTTTTTAAAAGATTCAGATAAGAGTGATGTACAAGACGGTCCTTCAGATGCTGACTTTTGGAAAGGTCCTCTGAAAGACACAGATGAAAAATCACGGTGAGTTTGATCTAGTAAACTTGTAGCTAGTAGAACATACAGTGTCCATTCAGAAATGCAGAACCAGAGATCTTTTCTGTGTGAGTAAATATACTGACATTTAAAATTATGTCAAATCTCTCTTCTTGTGGTGAACCTAAGAATGTGTTTTTAAAGGAGAGACATCTCTGGGGGAGAACCTCTCTCAAGCCACTACCCTACAACTGCTGTCTTACCCCTTACTATACTCTTAATTATCTTGGAAGTTAATCCCAACAGTTAACTCACTGCTGTTGCACAGATAGGGAAATGTAAAGCGTGTTGGAATGTAGTGGATAAGTCCAACTGATCTATACCAGCAACAAATGTTAATTGGAAGTCTGCTAAAGCTTTTTCAAACAAATATTACCTTGTAGGTGCAGATTCAAAGGAGAACTTTTTAATGTTGTTTCTTTCTTTTTTCTATCTTTTTTTTTTGTTTTAACAGGGAAGAGGAGTTTGATGAGTATTTTCAAGACTTGTTTCTCTGAAGCTAGAGATGGATGTGAGCTGATCTCCTTCAGGAGTTGTCAAGACGAAAGTCTGGAAATCCAATCATAATTAAGGGCCAGGCGCCTTTTTCTGCCAGCACACCTTTTTTACAGTCACTTGTATGGACCATTTGGATAGATTGTCTTTGTTGAAAGAAGGCTTCAGGTCTAAAAACTTTGTTTTCCGTATGGTAGGCTGTATACTCATGAAATAAGAGAAATAATTTTTTCAGCTTAATGCAAAAGATATATGAAACCCAAACTTAGAAAGGATGTAAACAAATGAGAGTATAGTTTATTGATGTTACATGACAGAAGTTGGTTGCTTTTTATTTTGTCCCAAACTTCAGTTATTGCCAGACTTCTGTAAAGGTGCATTTTGGAAGATCCTGTTACTAGTTTAAAATCATACACTTTAATATATTCATATTTCTAATTTATTAAACAAGAGTTAATAGCCTTAAATTTTTTGGTCATGTAGATGTTATTGGTCAGGTATTAGTCTTTGTAAGTTTTTTCAAATGTGATTGGAGGCGAGTTTTTATGAAATATGTATTTTGCTTGAATTAAGTGAAGTATATCTGAAATGTCCCCCCTACTCCTTAAAAAAAATTAGTTCATTGTGACCTTGTTTTAAATTTTAGTTATATAAAGATCTGGTTGATTGGTGAAATTTTTGATGTAAAAAATAGAGTATGTGTTTTTCCATCGAGATGTACATGTGACTTTTATGTTATCTGTGGTTTCCAATCTCCTTAACATTGATTGAACATTAATCTTTCTTTAAAGTGTAATCCTAAATATACAAGTAAAAAATGTATATTGATTGAGAAACTTACTGGATTCATCTTCCTCTTCAAGTTGCAACACAACTTTAAACATTCTTTATGTTTCCAAAGAAATGAACATGAATAGTTACAGTGGCTATTTTCTTTGTTGGATGAAAATTACTTTGGATCTAAAGGACAAACTTTCTTAAATGTTCGTGTTAAACTGAGGAAAGTTAATGTTGTATAAAATATATTTTTGGTACGTACTTGTCACTGTAGATATATTTATAGAAAGTATTTATAATAAGTGTTTGGTGTGGAAAATATAACAGCAGAGATGGTTACAGTGTATTTATGAACATTTTACATGCACTCATGAATAAGTTGAGAAGTCTATTTACAAGTATTACTTAACATAATTACATTTTAAACAGTTTGTACTTACATAATAGATAACAGTACAAGGACATATTTAGGGCGTCTTTGAGTAAGAAATAAACGTAGCCTTGCAAGAAGACTTCTTTAGGTAAGAAGGTGGATTTAAAGGTTAATTCTCTGTCATGTTGCAAGCTTGGTTGAGAGTCAAATCCAATCTGCAGCAATCTGCTTACAAGTGTGCAACTTGCCCCAAAGGGCTTTTGTCAATGTGTTGCTATATTTATGGCCTCAAGTACTGCATACTAATTATGTGTTCTGGATAACTAAACTCCTCTTTGGATCTTTAAAATACAGTTATAAAAAGGTACACTATACATATTAAATACATAATTTAATACAGTTTGAATAAAATTACATGATCAAACAACCCTCAAATAGCTTTTTTCAGTGTTTGCATTTAGTACAGAAAATAATACGTGATACCCAGTTTTATGTCGTAACTAAGTTTGCATAGATTATTTGGCCCAATTAGAAACAAGGATGTAATAAGCATGTGTGTGGGGTGGGTTTCTTTACTTTTGGGTGATAGTTGCACACAGTATTTATGTCTATAGAGCATTCTTAGTAAGGTATATAATATGGCAAGTTATTCAGTCATTCTCCCTTCTCTGTGGATGCTGAGGGCCCTCAAAGAAAAACATAAGGTATGAGTCTGCTTTTTTTTTTCTTTAAGGGGGAAGAAAGGTGGCAGGTTTGAGTCTGTACATCAGAATTGTTTGTTGCAGGAAGTACATTTGGCATCAGTCTCCTCTTAGATTTGGAACTGGTTCTGGTGAATGCTCGGATCCATGCGTAATGTACTAGCCATTTTCCTTCATCTGCAGGAGGCTTTGTGACACCTGAGTAGAAGGTATGGAGCTGACTCCTGTCATTCTTCAAGAACAGAGGTTTTGTTAGGGAGATGGTTGTTTATAAAGAACTAATTTGTGTGCAGTCTGTCATCTTGGTTGTAAGAAGGGAGGTAATATGAATTTTGATGTGCTCCACTTCTGCTGTCCTCTCCCTCCCAAGGTTAAATTGGTGCCAATTCATTGGTTTTTGAATAATTTCCTGCATTTGTAAAAAGGTGCATTGGGACTACATGAGTCTTTTAAAGTGTTTTTGACAGTAGATCCTGCTGTAGATACACTGCTATAGGTACGTTAGAAAACTCTGACTTGTATGCAAAGCATGATGTTTACAGTCTGCCTTTTGAGATTTTTACAGTGAAAGGTAGTTTAGGAATTGTGGGCAGAGCCACTTGCATATGGACAAAAGAGTGCTTTCTGTGAGTGGTGTCTACAATTTAGTTTTATTCTCGGTGGTTTTGAAAAAATACTGTTTACCATGGGTCTGCTTTTTGTAGATATGAGCCAGGGAACTGTGTTGAGTGTTCCTAAAGTGAAGGTTTACCCTAGACCTTTAGTACTGAGAATGAAGGAAAAGAACACCATTGCAGATTAAGGAAATACACGTAATATAAAAATCTAAATATACAAGTTAGCAAAAATTGCCTTTTTTTTCTTTTTTTGAATTGTACATGTTAAGACTTCCATCAATAATTTCATATAAGATCTGTCAGTATTATTCATGTTTTTTCAGGACAGTGTGCAGAAGTTACATATTTTAAATTGAGTAACATGAAAAAATATCTAGAGCACACAGTTAACTCATTTTGCACCATTATTTTTTCTTTTCCAGTTTTTAATTGTAACTGTTTACTACAATTTAAAATTATTTCCAACAAATGGTGAGTATTTAAGAGGATTGTTAAGAAATTGAGCTATACTATTCAAAGCAGAAATCCACTGGGGCTCACTGAAGTTCTTTCTAGATGCCTTTTCTGTAGCCGGAACAGTGTCTGAGACAAACAATTACAAAATTATACATGTTTTGGATTTTCCATCCTCTGCACTTCCGCCACCACCTCCAGCGTCATTTTCAGCTAAAAAACAGAGAAGGAAAGTAAAGTGAGTATTTTCTGTTATTTTTAGCTGCTCTAATTTCTTGTGAAAAGATGTTGCTTTTGTAATATCCGTATTATGTGTGTTTGACCTTCTGAAAATCGAGTGTGATTTCACTACTTGTCTGGGAAAATAGAAGATGAAACAATAACACATACTATATATACATATATGCATATAGTGTAGCAATTGATACCAACATTTCTTAAAGGACCAAACACACACTGAACCACTCTTACTGGAAAGTTTCAGTAGTTAAATATAGGTAAGTGTCCCACACATACAAAACTGAGGTATGTATACCATGCAAAAGAAATAAACTCATGATCAATATAAACTCCAAATCTACTTTTGAAGCCGATTACACAAAAACTTTAATTTGACCTAATTGTATAAACCTTTATCCAACCCTGTATGAATCCCTTTGTAATTACCAATTGAGAGAGACATTTCTTATGTTTGTCATCTATAGATACTGATTCTTTTACTGTCTCTCTCAAATGATTCCACAGATGTTCTTTGGTCATATTTAAGATTCTTTCAATGTAATAACTTTTGTTTCCAGGTTCATTTAAGTTAAGATACTGATATTAGAATTAAAACTTACATTTGAAAGCTGTGGATCACCATGTTACTAGGTCATTTTCGACCCTTTCCACCTGCATTGAAACATGTCACATAATCAGTGTCCTACCCTCTGTAATTTGTGGATATAATCAACACTATGTTACTAACTACATATTTTATTTTCTTAGTTTAATACTGTATTCTTAGTTTCTCTTCTGAACTTTCCACTGTAGTGGTTCAGCAAATATGTTTATTTTGTTTTCTGTCTGCTAAATGGCTAAGAATAGCCAGGTCAGTGTGATCTAGAGAAACCACCGTGGTTCAGCCTGTATCAAATTACTGTTTGTATGAACTGACTTAACAAACTCATATATTTACATGGCCTTGATTTGACAGTGTCAGATCTGTTCTTCACAAATGTGCATGGCCTCACTCACTCCAGTGCATGTTTAAAAAGATTCAAAATAATTCACTTACATTTTGTGATACCAGTTATAATATGCAAAGGCCAGATCCTTAGCTTCTGCAAGTCAGTCTGTCAGTGCTTGGCTGCTTAAGGTTCCTTGTGGGAAAATACTTCTTAAGTCAATGACTAAGTCATTCCAGAATACCCGTGTTGTAAGATGGTCCTAACTTTGAGTGAGAGTAGAAATATCTGACTCTCCTAAATGTAGAATTTAATTTTAAGAAGCTTATAGGATTTGACTTTATACTTTTTGCCAAGAAGCAAATGTATAAAGAGGTTTATGTGTAGGACTCAGGTGTTTTATGTTTTGTTTAGCTGGTATTTCTGTGAAATTCAGATGCTTAGATTCCAGTGTAAGAAAGGAGTACTTTGTGCATATTCACAACCAGCTAGATCTCAGCAATAAACTAAAATAAATAAGATTATATGGTTAATTGCAAAAAAAAAAAAGTCTTTAAAAATAAGTTTGGGAGACAATGGGGTGGCCATAATTTCTGTGAAAGCATGTGTAAGTTGTATCACAGTGCGAGCAGGCCAAAATACTACTTGTAAATTTATTACAATAGCAGTATTTGACTCTTTTTATTAAACTTCTCCTTTGAAAATTTACTTTGATTAAATTATATAACTAAAAAATTACTGTAACCACTTTGCAACGACTTTTTTTTTTTTTTTTTTTTTAGTCTAGTGTAATTTATTTTAGGAGCCAATAAGTCTCTAGTTCCACTTCACACTGACATTATATTGATGGGTGGCCTTGAGTATGTATGAAATGTGGAAAGTACTCACCTATTGCACACAGACACTGATTAACAAATTACTCAGTACTCGTGTTTTAAAGATATGAAACACACACTTAAACTAATTTTTCTTCTTCAAGCTGGCTGACAATAAATTATTCTGTAGTAAACCCATGAGGTTTTGTTTTAATCTCTGAACATTTTCAGTCATTTTAGCTGATTGGCAGAGCTGTTGACTTGCTCTTCCACATGAAATACAGAATAAAAATAACTGACTGACTTCACTCTTACACTTGAGCGATACGTTCTCGGTTCCTATAAAATCAGTTTCTTTTCTAGGTTATCTTACCCAGAGCCATATTTTAAATTTTAAGACTTGAGCTATCTTAGGAAGATCAGTGTTAAATTTGTAATATGAGAGAGTGTATTTCAGCCAAGAAACTGCATGTAGGAAACTTTATTTAAATTTGGAAGAGAGCTTGGGGTTTGCATTGATTTTTTAATGCTACAAATGAACACTGTCCTTTCCCAACTCTTTTCCTTACACTTTTCATTTTCAACTTAAAAGCGGTTGAGTATATTTGGGGCTGATGCCACACAGAATTTATAAATCTCTAGTATTTCAGGTGATTGCAGCATTCATAAATAAGTTTTTAATTACATTCAATTATAAGTCTTAAAAGAAATTTTACATTCCCTTCACTCTTGTTATGGTCCTGTTTTCTGTAATCCTGCAGTTTGTAAAATGAGGTCAGTGTACTGGATTTGTGTAGTCTTCCAAGTAAAGGTAAAGCTAATTGTCTAATTCAGAACTTGCATGCTATTAGTATGAAGTTTAACAGAATATTGCACAAGTGCACTACATGTGTGAATTTGAAAGAGAATATGTTGAATGCCTTACAAATATATATAAATGAAAACATTAGAAGCTACTTAACCTTTTTTTGCAGCTGCTTCTTCTTCCTTTTTCTTTTGTTCCTCAATGACCTTCATCTTCTCTTCATATTCATCAGCTCGTGTTTTCCATTCAACCCTGTTGTTTTGAAGACCATCAAACATAGGTGTAATTTCCTTGTGAAACCTTGAGAATTCCTGTACAAACAATTTAAATTAGTAAATTAGAAACCTGTAACACTGACAGTTTGTAAAGTCTGGATTTTTAAAATACTGCTGCTTTGCAGAAAGAACATTTAGTTTTCTTTCTTAAATCTAGTTCAGTATATATGCTAGATTAACTGATTTTATTTGATTTAACTTTTTTTCCAAGCACCTGTTCTATCTCTGGTAGTGGTGGTTTTGTAGAAGAGAAAAAATTATGAAAGAAATAGTGTGAGTACCAGCTGGTGCACATTTGAAAGTATGTTCTTGCCCACGCATGGTGGCCTATTATTGGAAATACCATGTTGGGAGAATAATGCCCTGTTGTGTACATAGAAGGATCTGAATTACACACTACACATTTTAGTATCTTCCCTAATCCCACATTTGATAGACTGAAACATACGATGCAACTATAACTATGATGCATGATATTTTATCATATGATTATCAGGATATAAAAAAATGTCTAGTATCCTATAGTAGATTCCAAGCAGGTGAAGATGTATCTGAAGACGCTGAAGTA